TGGTCGGGCTTGCCTATCGTGATGAAGCAACCGAGCTATACTGACTAGAACAATCGTTCCTCAAGGTCCTACCATGTCAGACAGGTCGGTTGAAGAGCGGTAAGACTAAAAGCAACAAACCCAAGGTCTGAGGGCGAAGTCCTACTGTTGACTGTACAGAGGTGTGACAGCAGTAAGATGTTTCCTTCAGACAACCAGCATGAAATCGATGCTGCCTTCCCACAAGAAGGGGTGGGGTTAGAAAAGGTCGACCCCAAGAATGTACACCTCGCCCTATCCCACGGATATCCGTCTCCGGCGGTAAGGTCTCAACAAGTACAGAGCTAACACAAAAATTACCCATAAAAACGTCGTGTGTGACCTACCTCAAGCAGTTGTCCCTTGGGCACTGCGGTTACGCTCTCAGGTCACTGAGACCACCTCTAATCCAATTTCCTTTTCAGACACCTCCAGAAGAACCCTTCCACGGTGTTGGCAACCGGGAAGTGATAACCGCCCTCATACCTCTAACAGCACTCAAGACCACTGACTGACTCACTGAAAATTCTGTTCACAACTATACATCTGTACTACATTGGAAATCCTAGATTATGATCTTCAACATATAAAATGGACCTGTATAATCAACAGAAAGACTTCAAACTTCATAATAGGATTCAGAGAAGACTAGAGGTTATAAATATTCGAAATAGTACTCTCTAGTAGTATTGTGATCCTACTAAAATGAAATTGCACTTAAATTTTCCGTTCCATTTCAAATTATTTTGAGTTTCATAAAACATAGTGAAGGCTGGATGGCTATAACCTCCAATTTTCAAAGAGTAGGTCTACGATTCGAACCCCACTTTACCTATTTCTGTTTAAGTTGCAATTGTCACAATCGAGATGGTTTTCAAATTTATCCACTATGGCGTTCAGGTAGATATATATCCCCACTAGTAGTTATGATTGTTTGAATCTTCCCACTAAAATTTTAGACCACAATCGATAAATCTTTTTCGACTTATGTGGATCTTATACGGGCTGTCTCGAAGCTTTCACTAACCAAAGTTGGATGGTGGCCAGTAGTGTTACCCAGAAAGTATGTTTCATCATATTTGGGGCTTGTCGGTTGGATATGCCTGCCTCTGAGAGTTGATGTATATCCAGCTGACAAGTCTCAAATAGGATGAAATACGCGTCCTGGACACTACTGCTAGTCACCACCCAACTCTGTTAAAAAAATCTATTCTATATATTTGGTTTTCATTACCATTGATACTAACTATTGTTTGAATTCTTGTGCTTTTAATTTTATTAATTTCATCTCTCTGTATAAATGTAAACTGAGTTGGTTATGTTTCTTATGACTTGCCTACCGGTTTGTTTTTACAACAAGTTATTTGTTAAACACTTCTTTCCTTAGATCCCTGACAAAACATGAATTCAAAGACAATTTAAGAACTTCGCAAAATTGAAATAGATGTATTCATCCTAAAAAAAACTGAGTTTTTTAAAGTCTGTTGACACGTGAACGAATAATATTGAAACACCTGACTGACTATGGAAATGATTAAATGATTTTACACAAGTTTCTTATTGGGACCTTAGGTCTAATTGAATTATAAAGCAATTAGTCCCTTTGATAAATTTCGATGTTAGGTTGCTAAATAAAACATTAATGGAAAATGGCTATCCCCTTAAATTCATAAATAGATGGAAAGTTCATTGTACAGTGGGACCTACTATAGCTTTGGCGGAGAAAAAGCCTGTCTACATCACCTTACCATTTAGAGGTGATTCAAATAGCCTTTTATTTGAAACAATGGCTTGAATTAGCCATTAACAAGGCATATTGTGCAGCGAAGGTCGTTATCAAAGAAACAACAAGGTTCATGCTTCATCGAAAACCTAAAAGACAAGAAAACGATTGCGTAACATCTTACTGTGTTTACCAATTTAAATGTGCATGTGGTCACACACATATTGGGAGGAGTAATTGTGATCTCAAAATTACGGTATGTGAGCGTCTACCTAAATGGTTGCAGAAACAAATAAAATGAAATGACTCAATAAGAGTAGAGGATAAACATCCATCATCCTCTATTGCTAAACATTTAATCGAAACAGGTCATAAGGTTGATCTTAACTCGCCTTTTGTGGTGTTGTGCAAAGTGTAAAAAGGTGTATACTAAGGCTTATTGAGGCCTTAGCCCTACGAAAATTCAAACCCCATTAGTCCGAAAGGGTGTGGGTTCGAATCCCACCTCCATCACAACCCTTGTCCCACAATAGGACGAAACGGCCGTCCAGTGCTTCCAGGTTTTCAATGGTGGTCTAACATCAATCGGTCCACGATCTCAAACAAAACTTAACAATCTCCACAACCCCTATACTAATATTAAAAAACTGTTTGTTCTCACCTTAAACCAACCCTGGTAATATTAACTTATTACCCAGAGGGATGAGGTTTCAAAATGTTTTCACATTATTTCTTCACTATCCTCGTCTTTTACCCCCATTTCTAGTCTAGTTGACCTTTTATTTTAATATACAAATGTTCTTAACAAGTGTATGTGCGATCAGATTGTTCGAAATGTTTTGCGCTAATATATCACATAGTTCTGATAATCTTCGTCTTCTAACTGAATTAGTTTCAGTTTCAAATTTATGTTTGATTTTTATTTCGTAATTTTTAACTTAGGTTTAATATCATAGACTAATTTATTTTTTATGTAGTAAATAATTTCTAAAAATGGTCATGATAACACTGAATATGTTCCATTAATGAAGTAATAACGAATGGTAATGTTACTCTGTTTAATAATTAAATGAAACTGAACCACTTATGTATTCATATACATGTACATAGAAACAAAAAATATGTACATCTTATTAAAGCATATATAAACGAAAATTCTCAATAAATTCTCTTCGGGTTTAACAATTATTTATCCAAATTAATAATCTTAAAGGTGGTCGGGTTAATGGCAAAGTACATCGTTTAAAATTATAACGTACGAACTTATGATTATTTCTAATATAAAATAAAATACAGGTGAATTACAATTAATGTTTTCGGTACGTTCGATGGCAACTCCGAGATTGAGTGATAAATTACCTAGACTAGACATCTCTTTCTGTATTTATCAACTCAACTGCTCTTGCGGAGCAATTTATATTGACAGTTGTTTTAGGAATTCGTATATTCGTGCTCGCGAGCACCTCCCAGTATTGTTAAGCGAAAGTACAGTTAAAACTGTTAACAGCTCGATTTAAGTTCATTTAGTACAAACCAACATAGTGCAATCATTTACAGTAATATGTCGTATCAACAACTATATGCCGAAATCCGGCAGACAAGAATCCATCAGATGGCTGAAGCAATAGCTTTACGTCTGTGAAAAATATGTTTAACCGCTCCTTTACTTTGATCAACTTCTGACCTAATTAGTTAATGATCATGTGGTGATATAGCGACGTAATCCGATTAATGTTCATACAACATTCAGTGCATTTTCGCAGCTTGAACTTATCTTAGTCACATAGGATTATTATTATTATTATTATTATTACAACACTAGCAAGAGCATTGAAAAATTTGTTCAGCATCCATCCCTATTTACTAATTCGTACCTAATTCACATTACTTGATTTCCAGTTTGTAATTACACTATTATTTCTCTCACGATTTTAACCATATTTATTTTAGTCGTTTATATCACAATTTCATTTAACGTATAAACTTATTGAAGTCATCCCAACATTAACGATTTTACTAAAATATTAGTACCTTGGGGACATGTGAACGAAAAATAGACATGATGTAGCAGAAGGATTATACTGAACTGCGTAATTTTTCTGATATCACCTTATTTCATTTTACCCCTCTACTACTTTTGATTATTGTGACAAAAATATTTTAACCCGATTGCAGAATGATGGATAAGAACTTTCGTCTAAATCTGATCGAATAGTTTCACAGTATTTTAATATAGTGAAAATTCTCATCTTGACTTTCGGTCCAAAAGCATTTTAATCATTTCACTTCATCCGCATTATAATCCGCCAGTAACTTAATAATTTTACAAGGCAACTTGCAACTATAAGTAGTTTATGTTTAAAAGCTGTCTTTAGCATTTCTCCATCTATTATTGTTTTCGTATAATGGACTTTGGTGATTCATGTATTTGTAACTCATCTACTAGATATAGGTATTCCTACTTGCTTTTTAGTTACACTGTAGGTGAATGTCAGAGACACTCCAGATTACATATATCAAAGAAGGTGGGGTAGGGTTTGAACCTAAAAACCATTATTGTAAGCAAACAAGAATGGTGGCTAGCAGTGAAATCCAGGACGCGCGATTTGTCCTATTTGGGACTCGTCAGTCCGATGCACCTGCATCCTAGAGTTGATCAGTCTGGGACTCGAACCATTCCATATTTGCCTATAATGCTTGTGATTGAAGGCAATATCGAGGCAATCTGCACAAGATGCACATATACCAATAAAAGACTGATCAATTGCAGTCCTAAACATCAATGGGCACATCCCAACAAACCATACAAAAATGAATAAGAACTTCACCCGATTGCACAGATTAGCGATTGTCTGAACTCCGTAGCGAAGTGGATAACGTGATGGCGTTTGAAGCGAACGGTACTGACTTAGAGTCTTGTAATGAACATAAACTGTGGGATGCAGTTACATCCAACTGACGAGTTCCAAATAGGACAAAACGCGCGTCCTTGATTGTACTGCTAGTCACTATCCATCTTCAATTTTACTTTATATTACAACCAGTCGTAAATTCACACGTATGTTTCTACCTATTGGATTGTTAATTCAAATAAATAATTGTAGAACTTAAAGAGCATTTATTGAAAATAGCATTTTTCGTACATATATCTGTGTTTTAATATGATGGAAATTTTTCAGCGATATATCTTATTTTCAAGAAATAACCAGTCATTTTATATTTACTTTTTTTATCATTTTATATTATAAAAGTCAACATAATGGATTTATGGCGCGTGGTAGAGACATTCAGAGAATTCGGTTTACACCAATTGAATGATCCACAAGCAAGTTTAGATTATGGTAGTACATTTCGTTTACTATCACGTATTTATTCACATATACCTACAACAAATATGAATGTGAATACCACAACTGATGAAAATACACCAAGTAACGCAATCAATCGACCTGCAATAATTATTGCAGCAGAAATCCTACTTGGTTGGCTTGGATATGCTTTGGACTTATGTGCAACTGGCCGACTTAGCGTAACTGGACTAAAAATAACCTTATCAACATTAACTAATGCGAGGCCAGCTGATAAATTTCGATGTGAGTGCTTTTGAATGCCATTTTGAAAATATTTTAATAATATTTCACGGTAAATTTTGGTCACTGAATAATTATTCAAAACACTCAGACCGTTTCAGAAATTTCGACAGTATTGAGAAGACGAGGGTAATCTGAAAAATAAGCTTTATATTATATATTTCTAACATTCTCGTCACATATACTTATCAAGGCATATATATATCAAAACCAGTAAAGGACAACTAAGTAAAAGTTCAATAGATATAAAGTGACAATTTGAAATCATGTTTGGAAAATAATAAGTAGTAGCGTTTAGCAATATACGGAAAACTTCAGCTACTCAACTTTCTTTGTAGTTTGGAAAACATGTTCGTATTACATTGATATCTTTGGCACCAACTTGTGTTGGGGATGCTAGATCTCCAGAACTCACTTGATAACCGACTTATTTTTGTAATTTTATTTTGGAGATTTGAGTTTCTCGTTTTTGCGCCAAAGGCGCCTACTCTTACCTTCAGACTGTATTTCCCATTTGGAAGGTCATTGGTTGGTTGCCTCTTTTACTATACTATTCATTATCCATATATGTTAGAGCAATGAAAGTTATATGTAAGAATCCACATGTCTTTTTAAGCACTTATGTCTGTCAACCATCATGAGGCATAGGGTGACGTCCAGGATTCTCCAACAAAATCTCTCTTGGACCCTCCTTCCCAGGTGTTGTCAAGTGCTGTTAATTCTTTTGATTTCTGTTTCTAATTCCCGGCGCACTATGTACTTTGGTCTACCTCTTTTCCTTTTGCATTGAGAATCCCATGATAGAGCTTTGTGAGTTAGTTTGATTATTTCTACCTGCAGCTTTTTTTCTTTATTTCTTGTTCAGATGGAAGCTGGTTTTTTCGCTGACACAGTAGACTGTTGTTGACGGTTCCTGATCAACGGATATGAAGTATCTTGCAAATATAGCTGTTTATAAATACCTGAACTTTTTTAATGATCGTTGTAGTAGTTCTCAAAGTTTCAGCTCTGTACAACAGAACTGTTTTGACGCATATATTGAACATTCTGCCTTTGGTGCTGGCTAACAATAGGTTTGTATTGTATATGTTTTTCAGTCATAGGAATACTGTTCTTGCTTTACCGATCCGTGCCTCCTCATCTGCATAAGATCCTCCTTGTTCTTAAATGATTCTGCCCAGGTACGTAAAACCTTCCACCTCTTCCAGAGCAACTCCACCAAGTGTGATATATATATATATATATTATCAAAGTTGTGAAAGTTGGACTAATTTGTGACTCCATAAAATTTTGAACATAAAACCAATTGACTTTACGTGGTGGTCGTATCTGCTATTCGACATATTGTTTGTTATTATCAATACAGTCATCGCCACCCTTTAAATTTTTAAGCGTTTAGAGCTGTGTTTCATCGCCATTTATCAAATGATTAAAAATATCAGGATAGATTATCGCCATATTATGTTGTAATCTCATATGAATCATATGGTGATAAAACAGTAAATGTCAGATGATATTCAATTATTAGAGACGTGTTGTTATCGTCCTTTTGCGGATATTTCTTCCATAAAACCTACAACTTCTACAATTATTAATCGTTACGTCAAAGGTTTTGACCGATTACTATAAACCTTACTGTTTAACATGAAATTTTAAGTTATTCACTTTCTTTTTCAGATCACTTCACTCTTTTGTCCGATCCCTCTGGTGCATTAATTTTCTCGAAATTCGAGGCTTATCTTCAAGATTTACTCAAATTACCTATAAGTGTTTTCGAAGGCACAAATTTCTACTACACGCCACAAGCTTCACAAACAATGTTTACTGGGGTATGTTTCAGTCGAATTTGTAGTAACGTTCTTGGATAGTCAAATATGAAGTGATTCATTGTTCTTTATGATATTTGAATAGCTGTAGGAGCAGCTTTTGAATTTATATTTATCTTAGTGCTTAATTTCATTCAAAGATTTTCCGTCATATATATGATAGCAAAATCTAGTTCAATCTAATCGTTAAAATGATAATGCTTAAGGAAAATTCTCATTGTGAATGGATGAACAATTAGCATCGTCAATTTCTCAACAAGCCGATGTAGCTTTAGTAAATAAACTGTGATTGGTGGAAAAAGTATCTAGACATTTTAGTGTAGAAGAATGAAAACTTTTCACTACACTGTTGCAACAGAAAAAAATCTAAATAAATAAGCAACCAGAAACTTTTCAAATGATTAAGGATTCGATATATCTTGAATTGTTCCTTGACAGTTTCTGTGTCAATATTCTAGAGCCGTTTCGAAGTTTCTACTACCACCTGTATTGAATTTGTGTTTGGTAATACAATCACCGGCTTTTATCCACCGAAGTTATCTGATGTAGTGATTTTAACTTGATTGAAGGCATTTCTGCTATATATTTCAATTACTCCTTTGTATATTTGTTCTAACAAGTTAATTAATAGATGCATTACAATATTTTTGAAAAGTCTATATAAAATTATGTATTCGTCCTTGCAGTGGCAATGCGTTCGGTCGTGTATTTGTGTTTTGTCTCCATTTAGGAATAAAATATCTTTTTTTCTCTTTATGTTGTCGGGATTTAGTCACTTTTTCTCTGAATGCTAAAAGTTAAAGAGTATGTATGTCACATGAGTTCTACTTTGAGAAACTTTAGTAGGTTTTTGTATAGTAATTACTTGTCAGTCATGAGTTTGATAAATATTCCATATAGAGTTCAAATACGCTTAAATGTATTGAACAGATACTTTAGTAAGCCAAGTTTTACTTCATGGAATAACGGGTATGAGAGTTCAAGATTAATAAACATTCTGTTTACACCAAGTGATTTATGGATGACCATTTTTTTAGATTTTGACTGTCATTTATCTCATTCTGAATTTTCAAACTTCAGATTGGTCATTGATATATATATGGTAGTTGCAGCAACAAGAATTACTCTCGGCTTACCTAAGAGAGTAATTCATTTTTTCTTCACAGTGCGTTTTCTCGAGAAATCGAAGATTGGCTCCTCAACCCTTTCCTCTTTAAGATCACTTTTAAAAGCTTCTCATATTAAAAGCCTTTACTAAGGTATATTATTTTTAAAACACTATGTTACATATCATGATAATAAGTTTATTCCCAACAGAGCCGGTCAAAAGTGCTTTCAAAAAGACATCTATATAACTTCTGAAAGTGTTTTAAATTTGTGAGAATGTACTGTTGAGCAAATTAATCAAATACATTTCAACATACAAGCAGTCGTCTTATCACATTTTCGTTTATTTTGTATAACAAATTATTTTTCTGAATACATCATAAATAACCTTCCATTAAGTTACTAAAAATAAGAAGTAGTAGTTTCTTTACGAAATCATTGAAATAATCTAGTGTTTAAGTTAACAATGTTTTAGACTGAGTGTAAATTGTATCGATGTCATTTACATGACAAAATAAATGGTATGATGTAGATCAGAATTGATAATAACACCCACAAAGAACATCCCGAAATGAAACACTGTCAGTGGTTTAGAGGTTAAGCGTTCGCGCGAGACCGATGATCCTGTGTTCGAATCTCGCGTGTCGGATTGTGGATGAAAACTGCTGAGGAGTCAAATACAGGATGAAATAGCTGTTCAGTGCTTCCAGGTCTTCGATGGTGGTCTAACAATGATCGGTTCAGGATTTCAGTGAAATTCAGAATTCCCCACAATCCCATACTGATAATAAATAATGTTCAGCGATGCACGTTCTTTAGAAAAAAAGAAAACAAAGAAATATTATGTACGTTATCCTGCAAGTCAGCTAGTTGATAAGCGATGCGTTCGCTGATCACGCTTATTTCAGAGTTATTTATGAAAACTGAAGGAGACATTTATCATGTATTATTTAAATAGATTAACAGTAATGATAATGACTAAAGTTGTGTGAAACAAAAGCCAATTAGAGAAGTAGACAGTTGAGGTAAAGAGAGTTTAGTGACTATTTCTTATATACAACACAAAGCTTTAAAAATTGTATTTTTCCTATTGTTTTTTACTTGTAGACACATTACATGCCTAGAAAAGGTGGAAAACAATATATTTTCCCTTTAAATCATGTCAGAAGATTTCGTGGTCAAATATTCATTTTTATTACTGAATCTTAATAGTAATCATTCACAAAATCTCACGACTGAAATGAAACAACCAACTAGAATGTCCAAACTTTCAGTTTTATCACAAGCAGTTAATTATTAGGCGTAATTATGTGTATTTCTTTAAATGCATCAGAAGTGACCTGCCAATAACGTGATTAGATGTCTTAAATATTGATTTGCTGGGAAAAGTGTGGTCTTTAATGACCCGGGATCTGACTCCAGCGAGATTGTTTCTGATTGCTATTGAGATATACATATCGTCAATTCTCGTGTATGATTATCGACTTAGATCGCGTTAGTGAATAACGAAATTAAATAAGTCAAATACGAGAATGGATTTTCCAATAAATATATTTTGTATAATCATTGATCGGAACAGATAGTCAGAGACGTAACGAAGGGAGCGAAGAGGAGAGAGCGAAACAACGTGCGGTGGAGGAGGCTCGTAAGCCAACTCAATTTAATCACCCGACAATCAATATTTATGGTCACACAAGAATAATCTACAGGCATGTGGTGAGTAGGGTGAGAAGTGTACACACATACGCTTACATAAAAACAGTCAAGGTTGATAAGTGAATAATTAACAAAGTCAAAATGTGACTCAAGTAGAATGAATAGATTGGCCTGTCCGAAAGCTAGGATAAGGTAGGCATAATGGCCGACACTACAGGTCGCTTCTTCCCCGAAATCTTTAAAGTTTCTTTGCTTCCTAAAATATTTTTTATTATACCGACTCAGTTCGTTATATATTTTAGATTCAGTAAAATGTTTCTCTAGTTAAGGATAACACAAAAATAAATTTTAAAATGTTTTTGTCCTGTTGATTCGGTTGTGTACTGTTTGATTTTTATTTTAAAAGCGTTCTAAAAACGTAGTCCTTGAAGAATTTCTGGATCGTATGCTATCGGATCAAGGACCACAAATATTAGTATGGCTTACGATTTTTCACCGGTTAATCAGTGTGGCGAGTGGTAAGTGGTGTACTGAATATTTTCCGGAAAATTAACGAAATAAAACCTGTTGTGTCATTCGAAAAAATTAGGATAAATCAATGAACACAAGGTTCTTGTTGGCGTTATCATTTTTTAAAGTTGTACAATAGTATTTAGAGTAATTTAACATATATATATATATATATATATATATATATATATATATATATATAATAAACCATCGAAACAGAAAAAATGATTACATAACTGTCTGTCTAGGAATTGATATCATACCACTTAAAAATAATTTAGTTTTTCTCATGAACCGTATAGTAGGTACAATACAAAGTGTGCCATATGACTAGTGGTGATAAACCAAGGTATACCAGAAATGAGCTGTTAGTTACTAATTAACTTAATGTTTGCTGAGATCTACTTTATTCACAGGTGTCATTTAATACAAACTTTCGCTAAATAAAGAGAAACATCTATCCAGTTTTTAGTGATTTACAATGTTTCAAATTTACTACGAAAATAGTATACATTTTTTTTAAAATTCACCGCTTAATGTATCCATTCAAATATACCAACCGTTATTCGATCAGAAGGTGAAAGTTATTTATCAATATCAAACATATTCAACATTTGCTTTTAGTACATTTGATCAAATACGTTATTTGATATCATGAAATGTGTATTTATTGGTATATACATCTTTGTTTTCAACTTAGTACTCCAATAAACTGTGATTTCAGTATTCTTTAAATGTGAGTGATATTTCACTGAATAAATTCAAACTTGAATCTCAGACAATTAAAAACATATACATACCATAAAGCTATAGACACGAATGTACAGCTTAAGTAAATGCTTTCGTCGAAAAGGGCAGTTTTCTCTGAATTCTCTTTATTTTTATTCAATGACACAATGACTTATTTTAGTTATAAAAACTTGACTAATTAAGAAATGCTAAAATTTATTTAACTAGCTTTTTTAATGCTATTTCATTATAGTCCGACATAACGTACGATGTGAGGGTTGCAAACGTGAACCGATTTGCGGTCTACGCTACAAATGTACTCGATGTCCTCACTATAATTTGTGTCAAGATTGTTTTTGGATTGGCGTAACCACAGATCAGCATACAAATGCACATGATGTGAAAGAATATAGTGCTGCCTCAGTAAGCTATTTCCAATATATATAGTTCATTACAGATCATTATTGTATGCAACACTTTACTCTCATGCTTACTGGAAAGATATTGTTCTGAATGAATAGAAATAAAAAACAAACTTAAAATATTCTAATACAGATCTTTATAAGGTAATTTAGGAAATTGGAACGTTTGGTGTATGATATCGGTATATTATGGATGCTAATATAATAGAATATTCTGTTTTAAAACTACAACAATAAGTTGTCTAAAAGAGGAATTTATACCTGGGTTTCCAATGTATGCAGAATGAACTATATTTAATTGGTCAATCTGAAAATGAAAACCATGGTATACGAGATGTAATAACTTCTGAGTAAGAACTTTTAAATCGTGCAATACAAACAATATTCATGAATGTTTCTTGCAATCTACTCATCAATATAATGTTTGCTAATTAACAGCACCTTTTAACCTCAAATAATAAACATTGGTACTTATCGAGTTTGAACGAATCAACAGACAATTCAGATCGTTCTGGTTTATCATATTTGTGTACCTACAGATAAGGAACACGGATTTCATTAACAAGTGAAAATAACATAGTAGAACAATGACTGTTATTTTTTTCTTTGATTTACTGAAATGTGTATGGTAAGATACGTATAACCACAAGCATATCGTCAAGTGATTGAAGTTAGACTTGCGCACCACTGAGTTTCGACTCACTGGTCTAGACTTTAAGCGCTGGTGCACAAAATAAAATGTTTGGGGTTCGAGTCCTCGTTACAGGAACAAAACGGCTATCAAGTACTTCCGTTTTCAACGCTTTTCCAGCTTAGATAGGGTCGTGATCTTTTTGTGACCGTATGTCTGACTCAAGTTAGATCGGACAAATGATCGTTATCGAATGATTGCTGACGAAATATACATCCTGGCTATTCTCGTATATAATCATCGACTTGAATCGCGTTGGTGAATAGCGGAATTAAATAAGTCAAACGCGAGAATGAAGTTTTGAACTCGTATGTTTTGTACAATCGTTGCTCAGAAGAGACAACCAGAGTAACAGAGCGAACGGAGCGAAAAGAGAGCGACGCAAAACGACGCCCAATAGAGAAAGCATATGAGCCAACTTCTTTTAATCAAGCGCTAGTTAATGCTCTTCAATCAACCCCCATCAATAGATAAAAATCATTTCAAGGTAGATAGATCTCCTGACGACTACGCCCAGTTATTTTCCACACATGCAAGGATTGCTTAGCTTGTATTTTATTTATCGCTTGGGCTGGGGATAAACTCCATGTTTTCAAGTCATCTAAGGTATCGTAGTTAGTAATTATGGTTATGTTTTCGTTTATTCAGTCACTGAGCTGTACATATTTTGGAATAACTTTTATTATAGAATTAATTCGAGGTATGACCGTTGCTAGGTTATAATTTTTCCCATCATGACTGACTTCACTACACTTAACATGCGGTATTTTCGTCGTAGAATACTTTACATTGCACACATAAGTCAGCAAAGATGACAGACAACAAAACATGCCCTCCATCATTCGTTACGATAGTGTAAATGAGAATTCCCGCTTCGTTTTAATCGGTTGTAAGGTCCAAGGTCAAAACTGCCAACAAGAGTGGAGTTCATCCTCACCCATCGCATGTACTAATCAAATGGAATTTATGGAACACTGTAGTAGTTCATTGAAGTCTTATCAACATTATTCTGTAACTTTGCTACTAATTCTATTTCAGAAATCTCATTCCCGTCAGTTTGGACATTCTTTGAGAAAATCGTTTCAATTTGGACGGGCCATTACTAACTCTACAACATCAAATGTTGTTACTACATCTTTCACAAGTAGTTTCAGTGAACGTCAGAAATTTTTTGGCATGAATGTTGCTCGTCGTCCTCATGTAGGATCTATATTCGAATGGAATTCAGACCCTTCTGTACCAACTGGCATTATTTCTTGCGTAAACGGGATTGTTTCAGCTGTACAACCATCTTCTGTATCGAACGACATTGCAACGGGTATTTCTGCTGTATGTCATCCAAGCCAACCTGTTTCAAATCAGAGATTCATGGCACCAGTGAATACTATTTGTAGTCCATTGCCAAATCGGCGCTTGCAACAGCTCAATCCTTTATTTTTAGCAACTCGACCGAGTACTAACTTACCTAATCTCACATATGTACCTCCCCAACCTGTACAAGTTCAACCTTCCCCTAACAGTTTGAACGAATCGAATCAAGGATCGAGTGGTGTTGCACGAAATTTAGTGGCCGTTACCTGCTATGCAAATGTAATGCAACAACAAGACATGATTACTGCAGACTATACAAGAGCCGGTAAGCTACACTTTTACTTAATTTACGCTCTGTAAAATTATTACTACTTGAGATGACAAACCATATGTTAATCTTTATCTGTTTTCGAGTCTATTATTTGCAGAATAAATTATAAATTAACTAAAAATAACCAAAGGAGATATATGTGAAATGAAAATGTAATATTTTTTGCTATGACTTATGTACATATTACCACAGTTAGATGAAACTGATGAACACAATGTTATGTAAAATGTTATTGTACTTTCGTTTTCCTGACCAAAATTTCGCTCTATAGACTTTCATTAAAATAAATTATATGGATGTTATTTCAAGGATATTGGCTAAGATTATTTCCAGTCATGAATATTTTACTTATTAATTAAAATACTTGACGTTCAGTCAGTGATTGTCAGGTTCGAAACACACTCCACCTACTTTGGTTTAGGCAGTGAAATTTCACAGACCTAACTACTTTTAAGTCAAATCACTCTTTTAGATAACATTTTCGACTCATTTACAACATCATGATTACTCAGTCTTACTGGGATTTCGATGACCAACACGATAAAGTATAGAAATAAGGAATACTTACAATCAAACATTATAAGTGCTAATATAATGTCTCAGTTTCCTTTAATTTATTTCAGGACACAGTATTTTATATTCTGATGTACCTCCTGGTTCACACATGCCCAATCTGTCAGGAGCAAATCATCAACCATTACCTATGTAAGTACAAGATGTTACTATAATATTTCCTATCACAGTTGTGACTCTATACTTTATTTTTACCCAGTTTTTACGAAAACATTATACATAAATTTGAACGGAATATGACAACTGAAACTATTATGTAAGCTTTATTAAGGTCAGTTTAAAGGAACTATTTGACCTCAATATTGGTGACATACTTGGAAACCTGGGTTGTCTGTTTTTCTAATCATTAGAATATTTCAATGAGATACCTATTTTTGTGTTCAATTTATCCAAGGAGTTCTGTCAGATAACCGTACTATCTATCCATGCGTTTATATCAATAGATTAGAACCTATCATTCTATAAAATGAAATTCAATTGGGAACATTCATAAAAATAATGACAGTTGGCCAGAAATCCATTCCTTAAGTACCTAGTTCTAGTCGCGCACGCATCATAAGTCAAATAAATTATTTCCCGACTTCTCTTACCCCCAAACTTGTATATTAGCTTTATTGTAATTGCAATTCTAGAATCCTTGTCAAATAATTTTACGATGATAATTTAGTGTCACTACATATTCTTAAGTTATTGTCGGATTCATTTCAATAACAGAAGTACGTGGAAATGCAGCTGTGTTTGCAAATATGTGCTAGTGTCAATTTAACTGTACATGTTTTTGGTTTTCAAAATACCTTTGTACATCGTGCAACGTTAAGTGATATGCAAAACAAATGAATAAATACATTGATATCACCAACATTTTTGTGATCTTGGGCTGCATTCGTTCCGTACTATCTGTTTTCGTTGATGAATTCATTGAATTTGCTGAGACTGCTATGAGGGGTTCTATTTTAGTTAGAAATGATAATTTCAACTTATGCTACTACACCTTTCTTTCGTCTCTAGTTCACCAAAACCTAGTTAACTTCCTTTTCCGTTTCGATACTCCTCGATATTTGGTTTCATTAAGTCAGTCAACTCGCTAACGGCCTTCTCTTCTAAGTTCTGATCATTTTATTCTCCGTAATTGTGTGAAATAATTGCGATAGTTAGAATTTCGAGATTCATCTTTAACTTTAACTTTTCAAAGTCTTATATGAACTTGTGTTTTGCTCCTACCAAATTGTGACAAAACTATATTCAAACAGTATAAATTTCTTAAAAGCTAACTATATTAGTTAACCTAAGACACCGAATCCCCTATGAACAATAATCTATGTTCAATTGTAATGCTGAAAATAAACTTTATGTAGTTATACTTCCATCATGACTAGTTGGTGATCATAAACAATGCACTTACATTCTTTATATTAATGAAATAAATTCTTCTGCATAACTATCTTTTGTATAGATCATGTTATTCTCAACCTACCACAGACATTTATTCAATTGGTGGTAATCAAAAATATCAATTAGCTACTACAACAACTGGACAGCCAGCTATACAATCTACTCCCATAGTATCTGTGATTAATAGCGATAATTTGAATAATTCAAGTATGGGAGCTAGTTTCTCGTTGAAAACGCACAATCTTGATCAAAAATCTAATGAAGAACATAATTTAATTGCTAGATATGCTGCTCAGTTAGCTGCTGCTTCAGCGTTAAACCAAGAATTCGATGTAAGCAAACACTTTAAAGAAATAAAATTAAATCCCTGTTTATATTTGTAAGCTTTTAAAAATGGGGCATAAAAATAACCTTCTTTGAATTTTTAATTAAGATCAAGTTGTGATTTTATGTGTAAAAATGATTGGTTGTCGTTGTTATAGAAGTCAGTTTTAAGGTTTCATTATGATGAGTACTTTTACGGGTGGATTAAATGATGGACAGAAGGTCGATAGACATATGATTTTTCGTGACTGACCAAAAGCTATTCACGTAACTGAATTATTGACATAAGACTGTGAGTGAGCTGTTACTAAATGGAAATACAATTGGGAATAAATTAGCACAATCACATGCAGATAAATGAAAAATTAGCACAAAAATAATTATGATTAAAAGTCTATTCATAAAAGTTTGTAATAACCCGTTAACAATATTCAGGACCCAATTTTGGTGAGTCTCCTTTGTCATATATGCGTCCAGAGTACATCCTCAAACATGATATGTTTGTTACAAGTGTATTTGTATTTTGGGAGGCAAATGTAGATTGTATTGAGACATCCACTTACGACTAACATACGTACACAGACTGATCATAATTCAATTCTGAGTGTTCATAAATAGGATTATAAAAAGCCTTACCAATACTTTCAAGTATTTTAAATAGGTTAGTGACTATTTCGGCTAAGTAGTTGAATGCATAAGGTGTCGACATTAGAAGAAGTCGATACTAAGTTCGAGTCTCCATTTATGCAGAAACATTGGGATGCCTTTAAGTTGATGATCAGTTTGAATTAACAGATCAAGATTATTAATACGAAATTGGAATTATTGTGGCGCAGTTGTCGTGGTAATAATGATAACGACAATAACAAGAATTATTAATAAGTATATCGTATAAAATAAGAATAAAGCATGTATAATTATAAATAAAAAGAATTGTCACGTGAGAAAGTATAAAACTCTTCATAGTCAATCAGATGGGGAACTATTGTATTTTCAAAATATTTCATGACTTCTTTCCCTAACCATCTTAGTACGTGTTCAAGAGAGCTCAAGAATGAGGAATTATGAGTACGGTCAATATTCCTCCCCAAAGGAGTATTTAATTTTCTAAATGCACATAAACTAGCTCATCACTAGCTGCATCAGTATTTGTTTTGCCTATATGCCTACTTCAATGTTTTGTTTAATGTAATTTAATAATTATGGAATTATAACTGTAGATCCTGAGAATAAAAGAGTATTCTAACTGAAAGATGTGTTCGAAAAACAAGAAACTCATGTATTTTTTAATAGATTAAAAATACGGATAATCTCCTTCAATAGAACACTGAGAATACGAAGACATTAACTTTAGGGGACTAACATGAATATTTTGATATTTTGTTGAGGATTAAATTTAGATAAAAGGTTCATAGGTTAAAATCAATAGAAATTTTTCTAACCATGAACTTTGGATACTTTGAAATGAACCACTTAAAATAGCAGTAATCATAACTGCCCATCTACCGTTGAGCTTATCTAGTTTTGAGATTATATCTTCAATAAATATGTTTATAAAGATGACAAGGATGGGTTAGTTCAACGTGACAATAAGAAATTTTCCATTAACTGAATTGTGCTTAGGAAAATTAAGTGATCAAATAAAGTGTAATCGATATCAAATATTTTTATTGGATATTTTAATACAGGGACTTATCTCAGTGATAAATAAGATTCATACAATAAAAAGTATTTATTATCTGGCTGTTTTTGTTTTCATTTTGTTCCAGAAATTCGGTGATTTTGTTGAGTCAACACAAACTCAAAAACAATTAATCGCTCAACTACAAGAAAAAAACAGGTGAGCTATAGAGTGAATAACAATACAAGACGTGTCTATGTATAAAACTAATAACAATTATTATGCAATTAGCTCTAATATATTACGATATTTACTCATCCATTCATCCATTTGAATATAAATTTTACAAGAAATGGAACTCAGCGACTCATTGATTTAAAATATGTTTATCGGCTCAACCTTAAACTACAACATTTGTTCATTTGTTCTTGAAGGGGTAACAAACAAGAAATCTATGATCAAGCACAAAAGGACTCATCGTTGACTATCCAGACACTTCAACTTGTAATTTCGTCAAAAAATGACTGAAATGTTTAACACTATTCGCTTCAATGACGACTTTGGGTCCGTTACATACGTTCGTCTATTTGATTTCCTAAGCATCAGATTGATTCCATCACTACTTTTATTTAGTACACTTCTCGATAGTCTGTGGTTTACAAGGTGCTAAATTTGGTTTTCACTTAATAAATTACCCAAGCATGACGACATTATGTTAAATTCTATCATTGTAGTGATGTCGCATATTAAAAAGATATAGATAAACTTAGTATATGATATTTGATTTTAAAATGTATGGAATTCTTGTATGAATAACAGAACCTATTATATTATAAAGATTTCACATTACAACCACGATTATTTCTTTTTAAATTCTATTTATTTGTTGAAAATTACTATGTGGTTTAGGTTGAACTCCAGTTGGTGTTAATCAAATTGTAAAGAGATTGATAGATAAGAATTTTTGTACAGTTTTTGGAATAAGTAAGACATTGTTCCTAGTTGCCTAAACCTTTACCAACAGAGCAGAAGCCAGTTGTTAAGTTTATGACCTGTCAGTCAAATAAACAATATATTTTTTGCAACGTAGACAAATGATATATATATATATAAAACTTTAGTCCTTGACAATAATTTTATTCGGGAAAATGTTTCATGGTGACATTTGTGTTTCCTTCCATTAAATTAGAAAAATACTAAAAGAGATTGAACGATTACGAGTTGAACAACAAAAACAAGCAGCATTTATTGCTGCTGCTGGTTCCCTCAAACATGATTCTTCTGAGTTACAAGATGTTTGTGACGAAGGTGCTGGTACACTTAGTCCGACAAATTTAAAACAGTACTTAAAAACAGATAATTTATTGGCCTCCGGAGTTGGCAATTCAGTGAATTCAGAAAATCCTCGTTTGGTTGCTGATCTACAGGCGCTTCGCCAAAGAAAAGATGAACTGGAGTCGAGAATGAGTAATCTTCAGGTAATTAATTTCTTCGGAGCTAAAGATTCGAAACTCACATTTAAAAAGTGCTTCTAAACAGAAATGCATAAGAATATTACGAATTTGTGGTCCGTTTTATATTATAGAAATTTTTTAAATCATTTTAACTCATGAAAAATAAGTCCTGATACCATGAAGAATAAGAGACCTAAATCCTTCTCCTGGTAGGATCGTGGTTATTGGAAAACACCAAACCAGGACGAAATAGCCCACTAGTTCAGTGGTTGATAAAATTTACCGCTCTGAAACGCAAAAATATATTTATAACTGATTTTCAATGAACTTTCACCAAAAATCTGAAAACAACAGTAACATCCAAACGCTTAACTAGGATGCCCATCAGTATACAATTCACCGATCATTATATGGCAACTTGTCTCATTACCTTTACATGACAGTAAAAACATATCTGTTTTATATAATTCTATCGAAATTGTCCCACATATGTAAGTTGCGAGTGGGATTTTATCATATTGTGTGTAAGTTGTTAGTGTAAACCATTACAGTGAATCTGATAAATTGTATCATGCAAATGTTGTTCACTTTTAAGATTCTTCAAGTTTGTTTTGATGTATCCGTGAACACTAGTAGTGTTGTGCTCGAAAACTCAGGTGCTGTAAACTAAAACAGTGCCTAAGTAAACTATCAAAACCATACACCAAATACAATATTTCCACATCTTCCTTCAGCTGTCCTTTACACACTTTATGGTTCTTCCGATTCTGTTGTTACTACGCTTGCTCTCTGTTTCCCTTCCTGTTTTATTCAAATCAGTCTTATGCTGGTAGGCATTTCATTCCCGATTGCTGCTACATACTACTGATATCTGTTAGCCTAAATAGCATACACCACAGTAGATGTGACTAATAATTTTAAAGGTAAAGTTAACTTATTTTATACAGAATAAATTTTTCTTCTCATTGCACATTTAGCGTAGTCGAACAGATTTGATGTTACAGTTGGAAGCATTAGTAAGACTTTTATCTGTCAGTACAGGAGCTACTAATGCACGTGACAATAATCCTTCAGCGTTACTTGATCTAAATGATATTCGCCGAACAGGCCACAATTCCCGACTAAATCAAAAAGTTCCAGATTATCCACCAAGACGAAGTACAAGTTTATGTGACCCATCAGTTGGAAGAAGTTATCAAGACAATTTCTCTGCAGTAAGTTGATATTTGCTATTGCTGTGTCCTAACTCCTTGGCTTACATGTAATAGTTGTTTAATGGAATTTACACTAAATTGAAGGGTTTTCAAACAACAGTTGTATTTTTTAGAAAATGATACCCATTTTTTATTAATGTTTATTAATAATCAACACTAGAAAAAGACGTGTCTCTTGTAATTCCAAGACAAACCAGCCATTTTTAAAAGTAGGTCGTGTCAAATTTTGTTTCATGTATTGAAACAATGTATGAAAACTCTTATGAAGGTGGAAGTTTTTATCTCACATGGAAGTGTTAGGATGCCAAAATTAATAATTTTGTTTGAAAGACAGCAGTAAGGTGTGTTGTCTACATAATATTTCCTCTTATTAGTAATTTTTCAGTACATTACCAAGGTTGTTTAATTTAAGCTTCAGGTCCGAAAGAGAAAAAGTGCATAGAAAATTTGAAATTACTAGTGTACTATTTTCTAAGGTATGTGGCACACTAATTTTCAGAAAGTCTAAAACTCAGCGTTACTGCCAGTCTTCGAAACACATTTGTAATTAGTAATCATAATACAAAATTCTAATCACCCAAGTTATTCCCATATTTATTATGTGGAAGTTCTACTTCTTAGTTCAAAAATTATTCTAACCCAAAGATGGTATCATCAGCCTCGGTAAACGGTTTATTCTGAGTGATCAAAAGGCAGTCTTCTGAAGTATAATTACACTTCTAACTAAACACCAATATTCTAAATAGGTATTTGGTGTGCAATTATAGCCTCTAGTAATGTTTAAATCGCTTCAATTTAAATACAATCTGTTCACTGTATTCTGCAAATATTGTTGCTCTCGCTTTGTTCAGATCTGTAATGGAAGCTAACTGGATGAAATAAGATGTTTATTTCATTAGCGAACTTGAACTTGTTACTAATCATCAGATTAATTCACTGTACATAAAGACTACATTTACTTGTATACAAGAAATTTTTTCATTCACTTGTACCAACAAAAATTACTTTATCAACATGCACCAATATAAATTGGAAGAGTTAAAACCTGTCCTCGTTGTTCAGTGGTCATTTAAATCATATATAAATGAATGTAAGCAGTCTGAGATCACTTTGTTTATGCGAACTATTAAAAAATAATTTGTCATTTTCTCTAGATAAATATTACAAAATTTTCATTTCAGGAAAGTAGGCATGATAGAACGAATGGTGTTCATCCGAAACCCGGTTCCTCGGATAATATGAGTAAAATATTTTCCCCTTTAAAAACAATTACGATTGAAGAAAAAGGCGGACAATGGAATTTTAAATTTCCTGATGATAAAAAGCATGAATTACACTCACCTTCATCTATTCCGTACAGGTACTGAAAATGTTTTGATGTTTTTAGGTAGTAGGTGATTGTTTTACATCACACAACAATTCGTAATGAAATATCCCAAAAAAATTTATTTAAATATTTTTATCATTCTCTCGCAATTGGTAATTAGATTTACATAAAAGTTACGAGGACATTATGATATGTATCGTGAAAGAAACTTGTTAATCATATATCCTAAGTACTGTGCTGCAACCTTAATTTTTTCACCAAAATACTCTCATATACAATTTATTTCAGTCGACCTTACTCTTCTGACAGTGAATTTTAGATATCTTAGAATTTTATTTTGCATAATAACCTCTAACTGGCCCACCGTTAAGGACTGTACCTGAGAAGTAGGATTTATATCATTCGGATTATTACATTTATAAGTAATCAACATTTGAAGTAACTACCCTTCAACAGTGTTTTCAGATTATTATTTTGAAGCACTTAATGAATACATTGTTAAAACTGATTGGTTTGCTCTAATTTTCAGTAGCACCAACTGGGTGACCAGTTAGTGCTAGTTTCATTCCTACCACTCCTCGGAAGCGTATATCACATTATTTGAAGTATATACATCGTGAAGTTAAACACTGATGACTTCATACACAGATAGCGTATCTTATATATAATTTATCACACTGAAATATTTTTTTGTAAGTGCTAATTTTATGTCGACTAAGACTTGGAATGTTTTTCGTTTGTGAATGAAAAGTTTATTGAATACCTAGTCAACAATGAAATCGTGAAAGAAGGTGTTGTAATAATAAATAATTAATTGAGTAAGCCAGCTGTCAAAAGACCAGAAACATCTTGCTGTTTCTATATCCACCTGAAAATGAGGAAAATTGTTGAAAGATAAGATCATAAACTGTTAAAACGTGAAGTCTATTTTAAATTCTTCTTCGCATGATGCCCTGCTTGATTAGAAGTTGCACATGTAATTTTCAGTAGGATTATATTTATAACTTTAAACGCTAACGAAATTCCATATCAAAATATCTGTTTCCAACAAGGTCGCCTTTTAGATATGATCTTTCCTTACTTCTCATCTTGAGTCATCCCACCAACATATTTTTCAGACACCATTAGGACGACTTATAGACAAAAGGGTAATATTAGGTATTTTGATGTCTTATAAGTTTCACTTAATAATTTAATGATTATTTTCCGATCTTTAACATATTAGGGAGACTTGAGCACCTGGAAATCACAGGTGAATGTATTTCAACAAATAGAACAGTAAACTTCCTCTATTCAACCATTGTATTCTGTACTTTATCGTTTCATACTTAATTTTATAGACATTCGCCTGAACTTGGTCAACAACGACCATCAGATACTCTGATTGAAAAGTACAAAGATTTATTATATAAAGGGACAAATCCACAAATTGGAGCATCAAAATCATTAAGAGTGCATTTCGGTGGGCGAAGACCCGATATAGGAGTAAGTTATATGATAATTTTCTGATGGTGTTCTAAAAAAATTACTAAGAAACTCCATAACACTATTATCGCAACTTATGGAAAAGTCCGTCTGTGAAAATTAGAATATTACGTATAAAAAAATAATATTGTTTTCAGTTAGATTCTCATGAGGCTTTAATTTAATATGTAGTAATATTGCGATGAGTATCTGAAAAATATTAAATCAATCAGGGTAATTTATGAGTCAATTAGAATAACGAAGTAGATTATATAGTTAAACGTAATAAGTAAAAATTACAAATTCATAGTGATATGACAGGTATACTAGTTCTCATAGAAATAACGAAAGCCTGAATTAATATTTTAGTACATGCATCAACTCAGAAAACTCGGAAAAATTAGTTATTCAAATGACATTCAATAAAAATTGTTAAAATTATATAGTGTGTTCAAATAATTAAATAGTTGAGAATATTTATAAGTGGTTGAAGAAAAACAAACAAGCAAAGCAGATGGAAAATAACATTGGTAGTAAGTAAACCTATTTGTAAAGACATATTCGGTCAAGAATCGGACAAAGGTGCTACAAATTTCCTCAGAGCACATTGCTAGGGCTCTTGGTTGATTCCAATAGCTTCTGTTCTTTTTAAAAGATAAGATCGAAGTCCATTGTGAAACTGCGAAAGTATACAGCTTCATTTTATGAACCATATGAACTTTGTCGCCCATGTGTGATAAAATGGAACTGTAAAATATTCGTCCGACTATTTCGAAACGAATCAGGAAGATATTCATTCATTCGATTGTTAAATTATCTAATGGCATGCATATTATAGCTGTCTCCGCAGGAGCAGCTGAATTTGTAGATACATATTGATAAGTCAAAATCAAGTTACTTGTCCTTGGTTTCAGTAAAGATTACCGGTAGACTAAGAAAAGATAAAGTAATATTAGCTGCTCTAAAATTCCTAATAAAATTGATTGATTTTATTATTTCTATCAGAATCAATATACCTGTCATATCACTATGAATTTGTAATTTTTACTTATTACGTTTAACTATATAATCTACTTCGTTATTCTAATTGACTCATAAATTACCCTGATTGATTTAATATTTTTCAGATACTCATCGCATATTAAATTAAAGCCTCATGAAAAATACTGTTCTCTCAAATGTGTTGTTCCAAATCGGAATAATTCATAAATAAGGTATAACCCGTGGATATATCTAATGATTATTGGTCTAATACTGCAGTTAATACAAAGTTACATGAGAATTCTTTGGAATTAACAAAGATTTTCCCTTGGGAAAAAAGAAATACAAGATCAGTAGATACTTTTTTTCTTTGTCCAACAATTTAAAAGAAAATTTCTAGTTGAATATATGCCCCCAACCCAATTCTCTGAATGATAAAGTAATCCTAAAATATTATAAGTTTCATTTTGATGATCATAAAGATTTCTCATGACTTTATTCATTGAAAGCCTTCTAAATAAAACTATTTAAATTTAATCTGACTAAACTGGTTAAATGTGTAGTGAGTACTTGACCTGGTTTATTTCTTGCACTATTTAAGGTGGTGTTAAATTGGAAAAGCTACTTATTATTTTTTTGCTATAAACGATCTACGAAAGAAAAATTCGGCTTTTCTACTCTTTAAGGTATTATAAAAGTATCACTTTAACTATCATAAAAATAATCTACCCCAAACCTAATTTATAGGAGATAATCACATCAGATTTAGAGAATGATGCTCACAATATCCTTATTCACTTCTCATAATATTATTTAGTACAAAAGTTAAAGAGCTCTAAGATTTGTTAACACGAAGCGCATTCATAATCTGTTAGTCAGTATCATTGTATTGTTAAACTTCTTGGGCGTTTTACTTAACCAAACCATTTCAATGGATATATGTTTGATTGTTTAATGTAGTCGTTCAATGAGTACCTACTGAACAGTCATGAATGTTACAGTGAATGAAATTTGAACAGTAATTAAGGTATAAATTACTTTTTAATCTTTTTTTTATCAATTCAATTAGTGGATTCGTAGTTGACTTCAAAACTTTTCAGTGAGCTAGTCAGGTTTTCCCCGTTTTCACTCTTAATTTTTATAGCAGACCTTATCAGCTGATGATAAAACTGAGTTTTTTGGTCATAATTCAGTAAATGTGAACAGATTGTCATCAAATCATTCATCACAACATACAAATCACTCGGACAGCGGATCGGATGCATATTTATACTCAGATCCTGAATTATGCTTTACAGTCATCACATCTACCTGCGGTTCATCACAATCTAGCACTTCAGTACCACAAAGAACATTACAATTACCACAATTCCACTCTATAACTCCATCAGCTGCTAAAACTTCAAATAAATCCAAAGATTTTCTAGACCTTTTAAACGATAAAATTATAACAACAACTACAATTGTAGATAATTATGAATACGCTGGTTTACAGTCATCATCAATCTCACCATTATCATTTTCGTCAAATGAACACACTAAACATTTCAGAACTAACGTTACTTCAAACATTCCAGCTACAACTAATCCTTAGTTAGCGAAACAGTAAGTAATTATTTAATTTCAATCAATTTTTATCCACGTTCTTTAAACAATTCTACATACTTATTGCCTGCCTGACCAAATACATACCACAGTTTAAATATTTAAGCTGAATAATTCTATTTAGGGTTATTTAACTCCTAATTTTATAGTTAGCTGATTTTCTTGGATATTAGTTTTAAATTCTTAGTTTTCATTGAATGATACGATATTCTAACAGACCGTCATGTATTGCTATATTTAAATCACTGATAACTTCAAGATGTATGACTGATTGGTGTTATACACCTACCTTTTGTCATTTCCTAAAAATTGCTGGATTATAGCTAATATTGTAGTGAACGAGAACAAAAGTAGGTACAATCGAATGTATTTAAACACAAAATTACAGAATATCTTAGTAAAATCTGAGAACCATACAGTAAATACTTCATTTGCAAAATATCAGACAATTGTCTCAGACTTCATTGTTTTTTCGTTTCCACATCAATCATTCACTGTTCTCGTCCTTATTTCTTCGGTCTTCTTAACCTTCTGCCTCCAGGCATTTCACTTTCGATTGATGATACATACTATCGACATCAATAGCACACAACACAATATATCTACAAATTACAGTGTGATAACATTTTCAAGAATTCCATTGCTTGATCGGAACCTGTTATCATACACTTGTAGAAATATAATTAAATTAGGCAGTTATTTATCAAAACATGATAGGAATTTTCAAACAGATATTTATTGATTTTCAATGGTTGAGATCATGAGTCAATTGAAGCTAGACCATCATTGAAAACCTGGAAGCACTGGACGGCCGTTCCGTGGGACTCCTCAGCAGTGCGCATCCACGACCTCGCCTCACGAGATTCAAACCCAGGACCTATCAGTCTCGCGCATGAGCACTTAATCACTAGACTACTGAGCCGATATCCAACGGTATTAATGTTGACTTCAACCAACCCACGAAATTGAGCGATACATCCAACAATGGTTTCAGTGAGTTACTATCTCACAACAGAACATAGTTGAACTCCACTGATCACTGCTTCTCACTAGAACTCCAGGAAATACCCCTTGAAGCCAGTCACTAGTGAGCATATGTTGATTCATATCTGAAGGGTTTTGTGGATATTATAGTAATTTCAATGGCTGAGATCATGAGTCAATTGAAGCTAGGTTTTCCATGGTGGTCTAGCTTCAATTGATTCATGATCTCAACCATTGAAATTACTATAATATCCACAAAACCCTTCAGATATTTATTGGTTTAATGAAATTATACAATAGAACTACACAAGTAATATTTACATAAACCCCGCTACATCGGGTTAGGAGTGCTGCACTTGTGAAATATGACTTTCTATCAACGGTTTTGACTAAATTTTTTGTCGAAATAAATCGTAATTATGCGTGTCTCTAAACGTTTATGTCTGTTGCATATTATCATTCAATGGAAATGAAACAACAGCAAATTGAACGGAACATAGTCTAATGAAAAACGATTTGACAATTATATGTTCCGCTTTACTAAAGTAGCTAACATAAAATGCATTTATAAGATATAAGAATGATTTGAAGACAGCTGATTTTAATTTTAATTTGCTTGGAATACGTTAATCAAAACTGTTATTGAAAGATCATGTGTAATAAAGTTACTTTCAATGATTAGTTTAACTTCGTGTATTTACTTACAATGCGGCTATTTGTATAAACCAGTTAACGTATCAAATAAAATTTATGACCACATATTTGGATTTTTAACTTTGGCCAGCTTACGATATCATGCGATTATCAACATATATCTATGTATATACTTTCGTACTCAATGAAGTACTATTTCGATGAATCAACATAAATATTTTCACATTTTCTACGTTGTGAGCCATGAAGTTTCCTAAACCAAACCCTAAGAACCTAAACACTGAAGTGTTGACTGATTAAATAGTTATCGTTTCTCATCGAGCAGTTTTTTTTAATCATGAGCTCTATTCGTTCAAGTTAAACAACATAGCAACTATTTTCAAATTATCTAAACGAAGAGTTTTCATTCCTTGTACATGTACTATGATAATGTATTTAAAATTTCTCAACTGCTTCACTAATTTGCATTAGAGTGAGACTTAAAGCACTTTTTGAAACTGGTAAGATTGTCTAAAGTTCTATACAAATAAAAAGACTATCTATTTCGATAGACAGTCTTTAAATTAAGATCGAAAATCACAGATATTTTATACATTTAAAAATGCGTTTCATCATTAGTCGGAATGAGCTACTGCAAATAGTAATGATATACGAAGAAACCAAGTACAAATATTTAGCTTTATTCTTAAAGCTCCTAGCGGTGAAAACGATCTTGATGACAGCGTAAAAAATCATGTACATAAATTTAAAATATAAAGGCTCATCTAATAAAAAATAATAGATACATAATGTTCTTGTCAATAATAAATGTGATAATATTCAACAACTATACCGTCATTAATATCTTGTCGCTCATAGATATACACGCCTGAATAAATAAAATATAGCAATCATTTCGTTTTACGATAGATGTACAAACCATTAAATATGGATACTTTACTCAGCACCTTCGGACTTTATAAGCTTATTATTTGTGAACTTTCCAGATGAGAACATATGGTCGACTGTTGTCTATCGTTCATCAAGAAGAATGATAGTTTATCTACTCAATAATATGGTATTTTGTAGTTCTTATATTTTTCGATACATTTAATCACTAAGTATACTGGTCTATTCGATTTCAGGTATTCAGCAGTTACTGTGATCAAACTGAATATATATGTATATAAAATAGGACAAAATAATTGATTATTATACAATCATATTCGAGTAATGCTTCATAGAAATGAACATTCTTTTGATTTTAAACAAAAAAGGCAGAAAATACAAATCCATATCATGAGCAACAAACAAGCGAATCTTGAACATTTTGATTCATATTTCATCTCAAGCTTAGCAGAAGAAGGGCAGAAATTTTTTGTTGTTTCTTATCTTATTTCATTTAACTTACTCTCTGTTTTTATCGTTCATTGTTAATCATTTGTAATGTTGATTAAAAATTGTCAATGTAAATGTAATTGTTTTCTCCATGTAAACAAGCAGTTGTTTATGCTTTCAATTATGTTTGTTGTACGTAAAAAAAGAATTCACTTCCACCACCATTTATACTTTATATATATATATTTTTTTTTTTGGTACACTCATTCTCCTATTTATCGCTTAATAGTTTACCTAAAATTTATAAAGTTCCACAGAGGAGATAATGATGCTATTGTTTGCAACAACAACAAAAAAGTAGATATTAACTACAAAATAAACAAACTACCTCTTGTTTTCGTTTATTCTAATCACTAGATCGAAATCAGCACTATTCAACTCGTATTAAATAGATTTGATTAATTAACAGAAAGATGTTGAACACAATGTTATGAAAGTGAATATATGTGAAAGATTCTTGTTTTTATTTAATTATTTATAAATTTCTTATTCATATTGAAAACAATTTATTATTTCTTCTTTATTCTATCATATAAGAGAACACAATTGTATAATCATATCCCAGATGGAAATAATGATGGTTTATCTGAACTTTATTTCGTTTCCTTATAATGAACATTCACAATAATTGTATTGAGTAAAATAGAACAATTATGCTGTTCAACTAATTATTAATTTATCTATCACTGGAATTGTGACATTATTTATTTGAATAAAATAGTCATCAGTCATTCATTAATCTTCTCTTATTACTGTTTCATCATTCATAGTAATGGGGTAAAAAGTAAAGCTCTTGATAGTAGTTGCAATTTTTCCATGTTTATTTCATAATGCAAACTGTTATATATGTATAGAAGTCTTTCCTTGACATTCATTTGTATAGGGCCAGAAATGTATCAACATTGTTTATTCTATAAGCTTATTTCTGGCTTCTATTTTAAACTCAAGAAATTCAGTATTTGAAGTTCTGGGTATTTCTTACAGTTGAATCATCAATATTTGCTTTCCCAAAAACAATCAGTTTAATAATCAAATTTATATTGATAGCTGTTGGCGTCATTAGAGTGTATTATTTAAGTATCTGCTTTTTATTTGACTCTTAAATTAGATTTAACAGAACACATTCTAATTTAATCACAAAATTTCTAGTTCAGTTGAGACTACCGAATAACTAGTTCAAATAATTAGATGGTACGAAATGTTTTCATACACATTTTCGACTAACATGTGATACCCAAGTGAGTAGAAAAATCGAATTTTCTGGCGTTTCATGGCTCAGTATAAGCCACGTCTTCAGAGAATAAATAAACAAGTTAAATTGACCCAAGTTTAAATAGTACAAAGGAGCAAAACAAAAATAAATAGTACGATCAATCAAAAAAATAAGTTTGATCAAGTCCATATCACGTCACTCTGATCAAGGTGATCTATAAGAAACATGGTTGCGTATTTGCGTATGTGTGTGTTAATGGGTGAAAAATGTAACATATGTGATATCACAGGATAGAGTTGAATTTTTATGTCCCAATGGTGTGAGTTGTGAACGGAATCGTACATGGTAGCTCGAAAATATGATCAAAGTCGGGTGGATGTTAAGTCTTTCTTTTCAATTGAGGGTAGTAGGATTTAGCAATATATGGGAAGCTTCAGCTACTCACCTTTCTTTGTAGTTGGAAAAGCCTTTTTGCATTATTTTAATATTTCTAATTTCTACTTGATGGTTATTGAAGATAGCATGAACTGCTATTGCCGATTTAATTTGAAGTTTTTCAAGTTAAACGGGATTATCAGTAGAGGGTTGGAGAGATTGTTGAGTTTTCATTAAGATGATGAATCGATCAATCTTATACCACTATTGAAAATCTAGAAGCACTACGCGGCCGTTTCGTCCTAGTATGGGACTCCTCAGAACTGCGCATCCACGGTCCCGTGCGTGAATGCCTAACCTCTAGACCACTGAGACGGGATCCAACGATCGTAATGTCTAACTTCAACCAATCCACGACATTTCCCGTCATATATTGTCTTCAGTGGGTAACTGCTAACCCGTGTTGGATGTAACACTTGCATTTACACCCGTCAGTATTACTGCTCTTTCTTTCAGTGTTGCTGCAAATATGAAAAAACCTGTCAACACACAGTGGATAGTTTGTTATACATAACCTTTATCACAATACATAAACTTGTTAAACGTCGTCGTAAATTTTAGATGCAATTTAACTGACTGTTATTCTGCAAAGAAGCCATTTGTATGGATCAAGAATTTGGGATCGCCAGTTTGCATACAACTGTGATGTCTGAGCACGTGGATCACTAGTGAAATAATGTTTCCAGTGGGACTAATCCATAAAAAGTCATTTTTTGTGAGATTGATTTTTAATAAACCTGTTAAAAATAGGGCATATTATAGGAAAACAGAATCCTTATTTCAAGCAGAGAATGATCAATTGCAGTCCTAAACATCCATGGGAGGATTCAAATCACCAATATAAAAATGAATTAAAATTCCTATTTACATGTGCATGTATAGAACATTCTGCTGCTATTCAAACGAATACATTGCATGCTAAACAGAAACAGCTTCGAAAATCTAAGGAAACCAACAGTCGCGCTGGCAGATATATGTGATTTCCACTGTTATCTTCTGTAACTTTGCCTAAAATCTGAAATTTTTCAATAACTACAGCACTCACCTATAAAAACACCGAACATGCATTCAAAAGGAACATACAATCACTTTCATCGTTCACTACGACTTTCTTTACTCCGCTGATGAATGTAATGAGTGTATGTCATTTTCATTTGTGAGATACCTGCTTCACTTACTCATTGAAAATCTTTAAAGCCACGTCCAAATTCTGCCCAACTGAAGAACCTTTGATCGAACAGTCACAGTTAAAATATAACTTCCAGGTCTACAGAAGCCTTACTGAAACTAGTAAATGCGATAGTACTGCTATTAACCATAGACAGGAAGCTCCAAAACAAGGCAGAAATTCCATTTAGCGAAAGGATACATAGCAACAAACAATAATTAAAGTGATCCATTAACAGGAATGTTTTGAAAATCACCCAGCGGTTACAAATGAGCATGTACTAGAAAATCAAGGCAGGATGCAATAAGCATTTAAATGCTGAATGGCCGCCTTCACTCTAGCCCTTCAAAGTCGTGTGAACTAAAGTGAGGTGATTTGAAACAGGTGTTGACTTTTAACTTATACCCCTGTCGTTCATATCAGTCGAAAATGTTAGTCTACATTAAATGTAATCTTTTGTGATTCTTATTTGGTTTCCAAATGATTTTTATTAGATCAAATTGTTCCGAAGATATGAACGTATTTGTGCCATTATGATTTATTAATTCGGATGATAGAACTAATGTTTATATTTTAAATGCCAACCTTCCTTTACAGAGTTGTTTTGAAGAAAGATAATTACTGCTAGTTAGTCAGTAAACTTTCAGAGCTTAAAAAGATCGAATCCTAAGTCTATTACTGTACTGTTGTTACTAACTATTGGTCGTATTTGGAATATGTGACTTGGATATGTATGGCAAGTCAATATTCGATCAGATAGTAGAATAGTTAGTAATACTATTGATAATTTTAAAAAGTTTTTATTTTCACCGCGCTTCAGTAAGTTTTTACTCACTTGGACCTGTAGGTTTATTTACCAGTGGATGAATAAAATTTAGGTTCTATAATACTTGTCACCGTGAAGATATCAACTACCAAATAATATTTTTTGGGATTTTTTGTCTCGTATCCTAGCTACTAAAAAGAAAAATAACTTTGTTTAAAGAGATTAAGCAACCTAATCCTTTTACATTAGAACGAACTATTTTCACTTAATAACTTCACTGAAAATTTGAAGATTTACATAACTATCCTTTTATTCTATTCTACTTTGATCCTATTCTCAAGAATGCAATGTTAAACAATGTTAAGGAAATAGATGTCACGACCAGCTTAATATCATTTTCGTTAGCATCTCTTGATGATTGAATACTAAGTGGCTAAAAACAGTTTCTATGGTATGTTTGTTAATTTCCGAAATTTTAATGAACTATCTTTATACATTCAAGCGAGTTAGAGGATACGCATTTCAAAAGTATGGGCAAATATTGTATCGTTATTCTTTTTTTACCATAGGTGACTAATCTCTAGCATTTTGTGGAAATTATTAACAGATGTTTGTTGTATTTTGAAACTTTCATTCAAAATTATAGTTTACAATTTAGAGACTTGAACATACAAAAGTACAGACTTGATGTACTTTATTAGTTCTCTCAAAGGAAATATGATTGCCTTGAGCCTTTATTCCACCAACGATGAGTTTGTTAACAGCTACAATCTGCCGACAGTTCATGCAATATTCCTACTATTCCCCTGCCTACTAATCTGAATGCTGATAAGACCATAGAAATACCTCTATTTCTTTGTATTATTGAAATCTAAAAACTAAAATGATTTTATTATTATCATTATTATTATTATTATTATTATTATTATTATTATTCAGGCCTGCTACCACTTGTGGAGGAGCACAGGCCGCCCACAAGCATTCTTCACCCAACTCCAACTGGGCAATCCTCGGTTGCCATTCATCATTTCGATGCCTGCTTCCAATATCCAACGCAATATGCTCCTTGGTCTTCCTCTTTTCCGTTTCCTTCCAGGATTCTAGTTAGCGCTTGCTTCGTGATGCAGTTTGATGATTTCCAGAATGTATATCTTATCTACTTCCATCAACTTTTCTTAATTTTCTCCTTATCTGGGACCTGCTTTGTTCTCTCCCACAGTAGGATCTTG